GACAATCAGGCATCTGAACAACATGGCCAGTCCAATGTTGTTGAAGAATCATTGCATTTGGGTTTAACCGTACCGCCACCTGCTCCTGCAAATTGTTGTTGTTTAGTCGTTTAGTCGTGTCTGACTCTTTGTGACCACATGGACCAGAGCACGCCAGGTACTCCTGTCTTCCACTGCCTCCCGCAGTTTGGTCAAACTCATGCTGGTAGCTTTGAGAACACTGTCCAACCATCTCGTCCTCTGTCGTCCGCTTCTCCTTGTGCCCTCAGGGCACAAGCATCAGGGCCTTTTCCAGGGAGTCTTCTCTTCTCATGAGGTGGCCAAAGTATTGGAGCCTCAGCTTCACGATCTGTCCTTCCAGTGAACACTCAGGGCTGATTTCCTTCAGAATGGAGAGGTTGGATCTTCTTGCAGTCCATGGGACTCTTGAGTCTCCTCCAGCACCAGAATTCAAAAGCATCAATTCTTCGGCAATCAGCCTTCTTTACGGTCCAGCTCTCACTTCCTTACATCGCTACTGGGAAAACCATAGCTTTAACTATACGGACCTTTGTTGGCAAGGTGACGTCTCTGCTTTTTAAAGTACTCCTTCATATTTAAACACCTCATATCCATCTGAGGAGAACTCAGTATCCTCATTTCCCTTTCTTATTCCACCCACCCACTGGCCTTAAAAACCCACAAACCCACAAAATCCAAATGAACTTCAAAGGCCTTTTCTATCGTAATCCGAAAATCCCTCCCCTGAGCGGAGTCATCGCTTGGGCTTCACTGTTTCACGTGCGCTGCATTCCTTTCTCGGGGTCACTGCCCAGCGACTTTCTATTACTGCTCCGCAGCTTCGCTCTTCTCTCCTTCTGCCTCCCTTTTCAGAAGCAGCCAAGCCAGCCTCTCACCCTTGGAGAGATCTAGGGGTCCTCTTTCTGGCATTTCGACTCAGCTTAGGCATTCATAATCTATTGAAAACACACCATCAAACGCCTATGGAGTCTCGGCACTCATCGGAGGCCCCCGCCAAGCCATTTTTTCAGTAGCTCAGGGATTTGTGAATGAAGGCATTAAGGACTGGTCCCCTCTACTACGGTATTCTTTGGGTGAGTTCACCCCATACATTTAAAGCAAAGGGACGCGGGTGGTGCTGTGGTCTAAACCACTGACCCTCTTGGGCTTGCTTATCAGAAGATTGGTGGTTCGAATCCCAGTGACGGAGTGAGCTCCCGTTTCGCTCTCCCAGCTTCTGCCAACCTAGCAGTTTGAAAGCACACCAATGCGAGTAGATAAATAGGTACCACTGTGGCGGGAAGGTAAACGGCATTTCCATGTGCTCTGGTTTCCATCACAATGTTCTGTTGTGCCAGAAGCGGTTTAGTCCTGCTGGCCACATGACCCGGAAAGCTGCCTGTGGACAAACTCCGGCTCCCTTGGCCTGAAAGCGAGATGACCGCCACAACTCCATAGTCGCCTTTGACTGGACTTAACCGTCCAGGGGTCCTTTACATTTTACCTTTTTTACATTTAAAGCACTGTTATACCACTGTGTGCAATGACAGGCTCTGGCAGATTGAGCGGACGAGACCAACAGTGGGTCCAACGGTCAAGAAGGCGGTTTCCACATGTGCTGTAGAGGGAGGTGAGGGGCAGGTGGGGCTTGTCATCCTGGGAAGGCAGCCCACCTAGGAGAAGGAAAACTCTGATCTTAAACCTCTGCTGCCTTGTGGAGCATCTTCCCTATATCTCGTGTACAGGGCAGTTTTTAATATTTGATGTTTTAATGTGCTTAGTCTGTTGGAAGCTGCCCAGCGTGACTGGAGCAACCCAGACTGATGGGCAGCATCTAAATATCCTAAAACTGATTCTAAACCTCCACTGCCTTGCGGGACATTTTCAGGAAATGAAAAGGCATAAACCCTACACAAATTAGGAGCAGAGTCCCTAAGACAGCACCTTGTATGCCTTCCAGCAACTCCTACAGCCAAGCAGGAGGGCAGAAGGGGCTTTGGGGACGTTGTTTTTATTTTGATTATGCATTTTGAGGTTTCATATTTTGATTTTATTCTGTGAACCACCATGAGACCTCGAGGTATGTAAAGGTACCCCTGCCCATACAGGCCAGTCTTGACAGACTCTAGGGTTGTGTGCCCAACTCACTCAAGAGGCCGGGGGCCAGCGCTGTCCGGAGACACTTCCGGGTCACGTGGCCAGCGTGACAAAGCTGCATCTGGCGTGCCAGAGCTGCACACGGAAACGCCGTTTACCTTCCCGCCAGTAAGCGGTCCCTATTTATCTACTTGCACCCGGGGGTGCTTTCGAACTGCTAGGTTGGCAGGCGCTGGGACCGAGCAACGGGAGCGCACCCCGCCGCGGGGATTCGAACCGCGACCTTTCGATTGGCAAGCCCTAGGCGCTGAGCCTTTTACCCACATGGTTTTATTCTGCGAACCACCATGAGACCTCCAGGTATAGGGCGGTATATAAATTCAACAAATAAATAAGTAATAAAACAAATGTCTTGCTCTGCTTTGCATTGCACTACAGCAGTGATGCTGAAAGGATCTTGTCGTCTGGGCAGCCCAGGACCCCCCCCACACACGCTGCCCAGGTTTGCATCCCAAGGAGGTCACTTTGGTACTGCTAACACAGCAGTTCACCCCCGGAGGCGAACTCCATTGTCTCTTGAGACGGATGGATATCAGCAAGTCAATGCCGCCAAATTCAAACCATAAGCGCTGTTCACAGACACCGTGCAGACCACCTGAATGAAGTTCATGGACTACCGGTGGTCCACAGACCACAGTTTGGGAACCCTACTTTAAAATTACTGCATTGTGTGGGGTTGGACTGGGTGACCCTTTGGTTCCCCTTCCAATGCTACAACGCTAAGAAAAGAGCCATCTCCACCTCCCTGTATCATTTCTCTGGAGACACCTCATTCCTTCCAAGCCCCGTTCGCTCCCCCCCCCCATCGCTGATCACCCAGATGGCTTGCCGCCATAAATACAGCGATGCTGCTTTTGCACTCGCTGCTTTCTAAACTGAACACGTTCTCATGCCGATGGCTTGTGAGGCTGCCTGCTAGCTAGGCGTAAATTTTGCACCAGCCTGGGAAACGTGGCCACAATTCGACACGGGAGTCTACCAGGCGCATGCAAATCTAACGGGCGATGAAAATGGGCAAGTAGGCAAATTCCTCCCCCTAAAAAAGCATCGGTTTGTTTTAATCATGCAGGATACATTAGGCCCTGGGGTCATGAGAGGAGACCATAAAGAGCCCACAAAGCAGCAATAAAGAAAAGATTTGGGCCTTTGCAGGGTTGTATTTTACATGCCTTGCCTGAGCTGTATTAAGATGCTTTGAGGGCATCCTTTGTATCCCATGAAATTACCGTGTTTTTCTGTGTATAAGATGCCCCCATGTATAAGACACCCCCTATTTTGGGGGACTCCAAATTAAGAAACACCCCTCAGCACTACCCATGTATAAGATGAGTCCCAATTTCAAACCTAATTTTTTGGTTTAAAAAACCCTAGTCTTATACAGTGGTGCCTCGCAAGACGAAATTAATTCGTTCCGCGAGTTTTGTCGTCTTGCGATTTTTTTCGTCTTGCGAAGCACGGTGTCAGGAAAGTTTTGGAAAAGCTTCAAAAACCTCAAAAAGCTTTAAAAACCTCAAAAAAGGCTACCACACCGCGTTCTATGAGTTGCTCCTCGAAGTCGCAACTGTATTAACGGTGTTAAGAAAAAGGAAAAAAACGTGCAAGACATTTCCGTCTTGCGAAGCAAGCCCATAGGGAAAATCGTCTTGCGAAGCAGCTCAAAAAACAAAAAACCCTTTCGTCTAACGAGTTTTTTGTCTTGCGAGGCATTCGTCTTGCGAGGTACCACTGTACATGGAAAAATACGGTATATAAGATTCATCTGGTCTCTAGACACAGGCGAGAAATAGCGGAATGCTCTGCAGAAGACTCTTTAGTGCAGAAGGGAAATATTGAGGGCTGAAAGTGTTCCTGTGTACGAGGAGAAGCCTCGCACTCTGCACCCATCCTCTGCTGGCGTCAGTGCCAATACTCGTTTTCAATTGGCGAGTTAATTGCTGTTTTTTGGTTTTAAGTGGGCTTCTTAAGATTTTAGTTGTTTCGTTGCAATTTTCAGCTTCGCCTTGTGCATGGATGCGGATCTGCCTTTGCGAAGTACACAGAAGATATGTGATCTGCCTTTTCTCAGTTACGGATTTAGAGAGGTGGTTCCCAAGCTTACCACACTTGAAAACAGCTGTTGGGGGATCACTTAATGGTTTCTCAGTCTACAGTGGCAATCGAAACGCACTGTGCTAGGTCATAGGATTGTGGAGTCGGAAGGGACACCCCCCCCAAGAGTAATCTAGTCCAACCAATGCCAACCAATGTGGCATGGTTGGCAAAGAATTCAAACTGTAATTCAATTAAATGCTATATTATAAATAAAAGCAGCTATAAAAATACAGTCAAATGTCAACATGCATATTCAGTGTGATGGGTGTGCTGTCTCCTATCTTCAATTGTAAATCCACAGATGTGTGGACCACCTGATTAAAGCTTACAGATCACATTTTGGGAAGTCCTGATTTAGGATACAGTAGTGCCTTGGAAGTCGAACGGAATTCATTATGGAAGTCCGTTCGACTTCCAAAATGTGTGGAAACCAAAGTGTGGCTTCTGATTGGCTGCAGGAAGCTCCTGCAGCCAATCAGAAGTCGCGGAAGCCCCGGTGGACGTTCGCCTTCCAAAAATAGTTCGCAAACCGGAACAGTCACTTCTGGGTTCGTGGCGTTTGGGAGCCAAAACGTTTGGGAACTAAGCTGTTCGAAAAACAAAGTACAACTGTATTGCCTTTAGGGGTTCCTCAAAACCAGCCCCACACATCCTGCAAGATTCTCTTCTTTGTTTCTCAAACTTGACCGGCAGAAGAGAAAGCAAAAAGCTGCGGAGGCAGTATTATCATGCTTTTTAAATCATTCTCTTACCTTTTTCTTGCTGCAGTAGATCTGCCATTTCTTTTCTGCTGGAAGAGCAAACATGGCTTCTCTGTGCTTATCCGAAAGGTCGAGTTCATCCTAAGGAGAGAGAGATGCCGTACGTCATGAAAACATCCAATTTATTAGCATTAACAACTGCGAAGGAGAAGGGGATAAACCCACATAAGAACAGCCCTGGTGGACAGTGATGGTGACCCCAGACGCAGAATTCTGAGGGGCCACAACCTGGTGCCCCCATGACAGGCTTCCTTGCTGAGGCCGTGCGGCTGCCACCTTCTGGAACTGTGGGGAGGTGAGCTGAGCCCAGGCTGGGCCGTTGCGGCCACAGTCGCACCTCCTTCTCATTGCAGCTGAGTCGGAGCCTGGACTTTTCCCAGCCCGCACTGGTCCTTCCCAGGGTCCTCCCTTCCAGCATGTGCCCTATAGCAGGAGCGCAGAGATGAGAGTCGCCCGCTCACCCAGGATCCACCTTTGTGCCAAGGAGAGGCGGCAGAGAAAGGGCTGTGCTTGGCATCTTGGCCTGCTCTCCACTCCCCTCCTCCTAGGCCTACTGCAGCTCTGGCACTGCTGGGAAGCCACCAAGCCCACCAAGGAGAACCGACTGCTGGGAGCTCGCAGAGGGCAAACACAGCGACCGGCAGGCAACCTTCGTGAGAAGCGGCCGCTGCAGAGACGCAGCAAGCAAAGTCTGCCTGTTGGCTCCTACCTGACACACACAAAGAGGTTAGGGGGCCTAATTCTGGCCTTGTCCTGGGCACTGCCAATGTGCATTATGTTGACATTTCCATTCCACCTTAAGGAACAGGCATGGGATTGTTACGTGTCACATGTCTGTTTACATTCCAGCACAGTATACTGGGAGCTTCTGTTTGTGTATAGCTTTTGTTCTTCCCCGTTCTCTCTGAGACGACACAAGAGAGAGACGACATGTTTCTTTGTCCTGATTTATGATTCATAAATCTGTAGTTGTAGTATGCTTCCGCAAGCCTCACGCCTATTCTGTGTGCGCAGTTCGATCTGCTGATAGTGTGCCCTGGCTCAGAAGCCCAGGTTGTTGATTTACGTAGGTGCACGGGCCGATGGAAGGAGACGGCACAGCTGGGTCTTGCCAGCTGGCCTCCCAGCCCTCTGCATGTCGACACATTATGCGGTTGCTTCTGGATCAGGTCAATGGCCCACCCAGTCCACCTTCCTCTTCTCGCAGCCGTCAGGCAGATGCCTACGAGAAACCTGCAAAGAGGACTGAGTGCGAGAGCACTCTTTTCTCTCCTGCGGTTTCCAGCAACTCATATTGAGAAGAGTTACTGCCTCCAACCATCCAGGTTTGCAGTGCCTCTGGGCAATCATGTCTGGTGGGTCATACCTCTCCATGCCCACACACCTATAATTTCTGCAGCTCACAAGCTTCTAAGACACCCTCCCCAATGTTGGGTGATTCCCACAAGAGGGTTTACGATCTCTGGGTGAGGTTTCCTTTCCTTCTCCAGCCCATAGCAGAAAGAGCTCCTGGAAGATCTGGCGCTTCACAACCTGTCAATGGAATTATTTTGGAGGCCTCTGAAGAGCTTTATCCTGCATCCTGTATGCTGGCCTGGTGCCCTCCAAATGATGCTGGACTCCCAACTCCCATCATCCCTGAGCAATGGCCATGCTGCCTGGGACTGATGCGAGTGGGGAATCCTAGACCTCTGGCAAGAGGCTGGAGAAGGCTGCTCAACAGCTATGCAGAAGGGAGAGTTCGTAGGACCTTTGCTTAGAGCAGATGCCAAGATGGGGAATTCCACAGCTACTGAAATTTATGGCAAAGGGATAAGCACGTCTTTGGATTAGAGGTGATCTACATGACAAGCCACCGCCATGGGTCACTAGGGGATTAATTACCCAAATTGATCTCCAAAACTCAGGTCACTCTGTAAATGGTTTGCTGAATACTGAGATGTTACTATGAATCGCAGGCAATAAATAAGGTGACGGGTGAATTCTGTGACCTCTTCTAGAGCTCTTCGCAATCTCATTTTGTTTTAGCAACCCCAAACAATTTAGTATCACCAGCTCCTCTCAATGTGGAAAGCTAAGGAAATATTCATTTAGCTTTCAGAAAAAAGTCTATCAAAAGCATTCATGATGCACCTGGGTATTATCCCACCTCCCTAACCCCATCCCATTTATTTATTGAAAATATTTTTAACGCACTCTAAATTACAACTGCATCTGATAGATAACCAAACAGCAGAGGCCTAGGTGAACAACCGTGTATTTAAACAGCACCCAAAGCTTAGCAAAATCTACACCACTCCTATGCTAGCAGGAAGTGCGTTGCAAATTGGGAGGTATCATCATTGAGAAATCTTATGGGCCTTTTATGCTCGTGGTAAGCCGCTCTCAGCAGGAGCCTAGCCAAAGTAGGATCTGCAACAGCTACAGCTTCTAGGTCAGATTCAAAGGCAGCCCCACAAAGAGCACATTACAGTGATCATCAAGGATCGCCTCTCCCCATATGAACTGACTTGGACCCTGCTATCATCATCTGAGGCCCTTCCGTGTGTGTGTGTGTGTGTGTGTGTGTGTGTGCTCTGCAAGAGGTCCGGTGGGTGGCAACGCAAGAAGGGGCCTTTTCTGTGGTGGCTCCCCATTTGTGGAGTGTTCTCCCCAGAAAGGCTCACCTGGCACCTTCATTATACACCTTTAGGCTCCAGGTAAAGCCATTCCTCTTCTCCCTGGCCTGTGGCTAATTAAACAATCTATGGCATATCCTCCAACATGATGAGTTCCAAAACCAAGTTCCTCCCATCTGTGCTCCCGTGCAAGATCACGGGGCTCAAAAGGCACTTTTTGGGCGTGTCCTTACAGTGCCCCAAAATGCGCATTTGACAGCCACACGAGATCACGGCCCCCAAAAGCGTTTTTTTGGGGGGCAAAATTGAACGAGAACATGGCAACAAAAATGGCCGCCGTGCTCTCACAGGAAAAACCCGGGATTCCATGGCCATTTAAACTGTGGGTAGGGTTTGTGATTTCTGTTTGTTACTATACTATGTATTTTTGTGTTTTTACATTGTAAACCGCCCTGTGATCTTTGGGTGGAGGGTGGTAAAGAAATTGAATTAATAATCATGGCGATAATGATCTTCTTGAGGTTATTAGCACATGGGGTCACATTTGCGAACCATGAAGAATACTGGCTAGCTAGCAATCTTATGCATGATGAGTGAACTTTTGAAGGGGTGCACAAGAAAACCCCAGAGGGTTTTTTTTTGGACCCAGCAGATCGACAGGCGTCGAGTCAGGAGGCAGCTGAAGCAGGCAAGAATTCAAAGCTGCCGCCAGCCACACTCACAAATTGGATATAAAGGAACAGAAAATGGCCCCTTGAAATCAGTCCGAATGAGGGAAAGGATGCTTTTCTAAGAGGGAGGCATTGCAGGAGTGACGGAAAGCTGCCTTCATCGCCCCAGCTTGAAATTCTGCCACGAAATCCCTCTAGCAATCTGCACACAAGCTTCATCGCAAGCAGTTTCAATTAACAATCACGAAGCAGACTAATTAGTGAGCAGGAGATGCCAATTGGCAATTAGCTTCACAGCCCATCTGCATTTGTCCGCTTGGGCATGAATGGAGCTTGCATATTAGGTAGCTAGAAAGGGGGCTGGGGGGCAGGGAAAGAGAGATAAAAACCACGTTGCTGAACGACCACAAGTCCTGCTGGAACCTCAAACGCAAGCAGGAAAAGCCTCAACTCAGTATTTCCAAGTCTCAATATTTTTAGAACCAATCTTGTTATCTTTTCAAATCAATTGTCTCTGAACAGGCCTCGTGCATTCTGTTGTCGTTTTAGTTTTGGTTCATTTAAAAGTAAACATAATTTGGCCACCCAAAAGGAACTCACACACCACAGTTTAAAAACCTCTGCCTTAGTTCGTTTCCATTTTGACTGTGCGTCTTTCTCCTTCTTGCATACTGGGGCAAGTGAATTGTTGTCAGAGCAAGCTACCGTCAAGCAATGCAGCTGAGGTTGTAGAATCGTAGAATTTTAGTGTCCAAACAGACATTCTGTTGCGGCAACTGAATCATAGGTTTAAGGTGCCATGTGGCACCTAGCTTATATATCTGAGTTTCTGAGGGGCCGTTGAAGGAGCTGGGCATGTTTAGCCTGGAAAAAGAGTACAGTGGTACCTCAGGTTACAGACGCTTCAGGTTACAGACTCTGCTAACCCAGAAATAGTACCTCGGGTTAAGAACTTTGCTTCAGGAAGAGAACAGAAATTGTGCGGCGGCAGCGGGAGGCCCCATTAGCTAAAGTGGTACCTCAGGTTAAGAACAGGTTAAGAACGAACCTCCAGAATGTATTAAGTTCTTAACCTAAGGTACCACTGTAGACTGAGAGATATGAGAGCCATCTGAACGGCTGTCACATGGAAGAAGGAGCAAGCTTGTTTTCCTCCTGCTCTGGAGAGCAGGACTCAAAACAATGGATTCAAGTTACAAGAAAAGAGATTCCAACCAAACATTAGGAAGATCTTTCTGACAGTAAGAGCTGTTCAACAGAGAAACGGTCTCCCTTGGAAGGTGGTGACCCTCTCTCCTTCCTTGGAGATTTTTCAGCAGAGGTTGGATGGAGATCTGTCACTGATACTTTAGCTGAGTTTCCTGCATCCAATGATCATCTTCCAAAGCAACTACTCTATTCCGAACTTAGAAATGGAAAGCGCAATGCTGGTGGTCAACAAAAGAGGTTTAATGACTGCCTCAAGGCAAATCTAAAAAAACAAGTACTTTGCAGGAGTAGGTGGCTGTACGCTTAAACCCAAATGCAATGATCCTTCAACAACAACTTCATTGGACTGGCCATGTTGTTCAGATGCCTGATTGTAATCTTCCAAAGCAACTACTCTATTCCCAACTTAAAAATGGAAAGCATAATGTTAAAGGTAAATGGACCCCTGACCATTAGGTCCAGTCATGGCCGACTCTGGGGTTGCGGCACTCATCTCGCTTTATTGGCCAAGGGAGCTGGTGTACAACTTCTGACCTGACTTGTATTTAAGTCCTGCTTAAACCTTATTAAAGGTAAAGGGACC